TCATACTCATCACTTGTTCGTCTAGTATTCATTCAACTACGATCTATATGTCAACTCCTAAAGAATATACTAATGTTAAAAATTGAACCTTCTTAAAAATGACCACATGCAAACAACTTGATGAGGCCTTCTTAAAAACTAAATTTAAGCAATTCAAGGGAAAAGAATGAATTTTAAAAAATTTTGACAGAATCTTCCCTAAAAATTAAACCTCCTAAGACTTTTAAAAATTTTTAATAGAGAAAATTGATGATTCTAAACCAAATTAATGATCACATGCAACAATTTAAGGCTTTATGAATCTACTAACAGCACTTCCAACAATAATTAATATCATTATCATCATATATATATACACATATTAGCCTAATAAATTAATAAAAAATACAATCAAATAAAAAATTATCTTTACAAAAATTAAGAGCCATACCTAATCAATCAAGAGTGGCGACAGTAACAAGAGGAGGAGGAGGAAGAGGTGGTAGAGGCAAGGGGAAGGAATGGCAACAGAAGAGGGGGGCAGCTGCAAGGGGGGGGGTGTGGGGATGAAGGGTGGGGCCTGACGGGGAGGGGGAAGGGGAGGGCGGTGCGGGGGGACAAGGGTGGGGACGAGGGGCTAGGGGGACGGGGATGAGGGGGGACAGGGCTAAGGAGGGGTGCGGGGGGACAAGGGTAGGGACGAGGGCTAGGGGAAGGGGGACGGGGGGACAGGGTGGGGCAGGGGGCGAGGACCGAGGGGGGTGGGGATGAGGGGCTAAGGGGAAGGGGACGGGGGGCTATAGGGAAGGGGATGGAAGGAAGAGGAAGGATGAATGAGGGACAGGGGACGAGGGAGGAAAGCATGAGTGAGTGTTCTGAAGGCACAAAAATGAAGGAGGAGAAGCGCAGAGTTTAAAAAAAAAAAAAAATTGAACCACTTTATACAGCGGGTCATTATGCACCCACCATAGAAAGGACCCGCTGTAGAAAGATGATTTTCTACAACGGGTAAAAGCCACCTGTTGTAGAAAATCATTTTTACAACGGGTGCAAGCACTCGCTGTAGAAAATAGAGTTTCTACAGGGGGTGCAAGCCACCACTGTAGAAAATATTTTTAATAGCGGTTGCCTTTTCGCTTGGTGTAAAAACTATAATACACGTTGCCAAAATTACAAAAATACCACTGCCTTAACTTTTTGCATTATTTGCCTTTCAACCGATGTAGAAAGTGCTCCTTGAATTTCATATTTTTTACTAGTGATTTAACATCCCAAAAGTTAAAAAGTGGACTTCAAATGCCAAACCTTGATTACCTAAACACACCCTTAGTCCTTATAAGGATTGAAAATAATGAAAAAAAATACAAAAACTAAAAATAAAATTTGAGAACCAATGATTATGTTTTTCCTTTTAAATAATGCATTATGAATCAAAATGATTTTTCTTGTTCAAAAATCAAAAGCATGGTGTGGCACTGTGCTTTAAAAAGACTAAATCAGTGCTTGATAAATTAGTTGTAAATCAACCATGGAAGTTGAGTACATAAGGTAACTTTAACTACTTTATCGAAATTAAAGAAAAACATTTAAGTCATTAACTTTGTTTTAAAAATAATAATAAACTTCCAATTTTACCCCAATTTGAATGAAAAATTCTCAAATTTGCATCACAATCTCTTTAATAAGTCCGGATACTGGTAATATTAAAAAACATAATTAAAACCCCATTAAGTTTCTTATAGTACTTCATTTGCAAATATAAGGGAAACTAACATATGTTTCTTTATTTTTTTATTATAATCAAAACTACAAACTTCAAGTAGCATTAATTACATTTTTTCAAATTGCCTCTCATAAATGGATATATAATTAAATTGGAGAAAAAGTAAATATTAATTATATATTAATTATAAGGGTATTTTAGTCCAAATATTTTAATTTCAGACATAAACTGTGTGAGTTAGTTGAAATTTTTTTATATTTGAAAATGAAAAAAGTATTAAAAGCCAAAGAATTATTCTAAAAAGCGTCCTGTAATGGAGACCATGTACGTATATATATATATATATATATATAAACACACACTCAATAATAATTCCTTGAAAACCATGACTTCTTCCCCGTGGTAGTTAACTTCTTGTTACCGGCCTATTTTCCTTTCTTCTTGTTCTCATTTAAAGGTGATAATACGAGCCAACTTGAAAGTTACGATCGAGTTGATCCATTACGAGCTGTGAGTTGACAGAATTGGCGTGCCTCTTGACGGGTTGGGAAAATGCCAATCTAACGGCAACCTATACATAGGTGTGTGAGGTAAGTTTTTTACATTTTTAAATAATTTTTTTAAAAAATTTAATTGCAAATTTTTGAAAGTTAAATTTAAATTATTTCTATATTTTTAGAAAAATTATATGATTAAACCAACATCATAATTTGCAAATAAGAAGATAATCTATTTTACACAATTATTTTATCAATATAAAAATAGTATAGCAATAAAAAAAAGAGAAAGCAAGCATGAAATTTTGCCTAACATGAAATAAATAATGTCATGCTTAAAATAAGTATAAAACAATAATTTTTTATTAAAAATTTAGAAAATAATTCAAAAAAAGAGACTAATCATGGGTTGGCGAGTTAGCCGTCACAAGTTACAAGTTAGGCAAAATAGCAAAATGAACCCACCTTTAAATAGGTTAAAAAATTTTAATTCGACTTATCACTTTTTGATAGGTTGGCTTGTTGAGTCTAATCATAAGATTGGCTTTAATGTGATTGTGGTTAATTGAATCATTGTGTTTGAGTTCTTCGATATTATTGATGGAGGTGGTGACTCAACTTGTGGTCATGGCAATAAAGAAGGGGATGATGGGGTTTTAATAAATATGAGTCACTTTCAACATATTTTATCAGTATTAAAAAAAATTTTAAAACTCATTAACTTTATTTTAAAATTTAATAAGTTATCAACTTTATCCCTATTAAATATACACACTTCAATAATATATTTTCTCTCTTCAATATTCAAAGGGTAAAGGGTATAAAAAATTATAATAAAAATTTAATAATAAACTTATAAATAAAACTAAAAAAATTCTTAACTCTGACCTTTAAGTAGCAGCAGAGGAACTATATGGGAGCATATGAAGGATGGCTTGCAGGTAGAGCTGTCAATTAGGGCCAGGGCCTAAACGGGCTGGCCCTAATAAGCTCGATTGCATGTCAAGGTTTCATTTTTTAAGGCCCTCAGGGCCTCGGCCCTATTTTTTAAAATTATTTTTTCAATTAAAAATTATAAAAAATATATTTATAATCATAAAAAAAGTTATTATTCATAAAATTAAGTTTAAGAAAATAAATTTAAATTAATTTACACCACAACAATAAAGAAAACTAAAATATGTAGGTCTAATATCAAATAGTAACATCAAAGTGAATACCAATAAAAATTAAACTTAGTTAATATTATCAGCTAAATCTTAATAAATAAATGATGGATGGATGAATGCATTTAATATATTCATTTCTTTGAGTTATGTATTTAATCTTTTTATTTTTTTTATATTATAATTTTAAAAAAAATTATAAACAGGCCTAAAAGGGCCGGCTCTTTTATTTTCGAGCCTAAAAGAGCTGGCCCTTTTAGGCCCGATTTATCTTTTTAAAGGTAAAATAGAAGCTTGATCCTCAATTTTTTCGGGCCTAAAAGGGCCGAGCCCGTTTGATGGCTCTATTTGTAGGGATAATTAACAATTTAATGCTCGATTCTCGATCTCCCCCCGCCCCTCTCTCTCTCACATCACACACACATACACACCCTCATCATTTCTTGTTGCTTCTAGTGCAATAGGTAGTGGTAGCTCATCAAGTCTATTGCAAACGCGGGCTTATTCTAATCCGTATTTATCATATACCTCGAATATATATACCAATATAATGTTTTAATTGATTTTTGATAGATCATCAAGCTAAGAATGATGGAATGGACGATTCACTCGCTTTCTATGGAAGAAGGTTATTATCTCTATCAGAGTGAAGGAATGAGATCAATCAGGTTTAGGTACTTTCACAATTTTAAAAGGGAAATTAATCTTATCATTTGCATGGTTCATCATTAATACATATTGCAATGGAAAATATCTATAAAATAAAGGTTCATATACATACATACATATATTTGTATATGCGCTCACCACTTGAGAGACAATGAAAATAGTAAGTTTTGAGAAAATAAAGAATTGAATAGAGAGAGTAAAATAAACATTCATGAAAAAAAGATGATCATTGAACATTACCACATAATCCTTCACTTGAATGATTACAAATCTAATCAACCCTTAACTTGGGTAAAGAACATGAACTTAAACATGGGAACCAACCATAAACTGGGGACCAAGTTAACCTCCCTCTCTTGAGGTAGGATTTCAACCCGTTAACTTCTAAACACAATATGACACCTTTATATATATAGCACTTAGGCATAACTAAGGTTAACACTAATCACTCATTAATACTCTAATATTTTAACTCCCCCTCAAATTGATACCTCTTTAACTATTAGTGATATTAATTTTTATCTTCCTAGTAACTCTCCAAAGCTCAGTAGATTAACATGAAATAAAGGAAATTGTGTACATTAGAAGGGGAAAAAAATGAGATCGAGCCCATCACACACACACGCACAGAGTCTGCAATATTAGAGATCTAGATCTCCTTCAAATTAAAACAATTCATCAATCTAATCCAAAAAGCATGATCCTGTTATAATTAATAATGATAAAAGTGCTTAACCCTAATTCAGCATTCTAAAAGGTGAAGTCCTTATCTCTACTATAGATAGAACTTACTGCAAGAGAATTTTCCTTTTTGTCATATATATTTTGATTCGTGACTTCTCTATCAATCGGCACAAAGATCTGTCACAGGCATGGGACTTTGTGTATGAGTAAGGGAGCTTTTGGTCTGACAATCCCTTAACAAGAAGATAAGATAATAATATATATACTTAATTAGATGCCAACACAAATATAAAGAAGGTAGTGCAGAACACATAATGCTCATTGCCCTAGATAGTGAGATATTGAAGCAGCTAGCTCTCTAAGCTTCTTAAAAGTTGATATCATAAACCTACATTGTAATACAATCCTTCTGACAGCCCCACAAAATTAACTATCCTTGCTGACAGAGACACAGACACAGACACAGACACAGAGAGAGAGATTGCGTGGTGGTGATAGCATATCTTTGCGCTAATTAATGACATGAACCATCGTCAAAGATTCTTCTTGCTGCTGCACTCTATAGCATCTTGTGGCTTATTATTAGTATCATTATGATCATTCGGGTTGCATAGTTCCTTCAGCTCAACGTGCATTGAATTGATGAATGCTCTTGTTTCTTTTGTTGGTTCTTCCATGGCTTCTTTCAGGCTGCTCAGTGCCATGCAATATGCTTCCTGAATATATAAATGCATGATTCCCCAGAAATATATATATATATATATATATACGGTATATATCAATTCGTGTGTATATATATATTAGCAGTTAAAACCTAATAGGTACTTAAAATTTAATGCGGACGTAAACATCATATGCTTTAAATTTGGACAATTGGTATAATACCATGAAGTGATCAAGTTCTGTAGAACTTGGATTGTTTGTGGCTGTTTTGAACTCAGAAATTGTCTTCTGCTTGCATGCAGCATCTGTTATATCAAACTCTCCAAATTCGCCTAACCCCACCTGAAATGAACAATATTGCACTCAGAGGGGGAGAGAGAGAGATAGAGAGAGAGAGATGCATAACAAATGAACTTAATTTGATTCAGTGATAGCTAGTGTTCAGTTTGTTTCTGAATTGAAGCATATCTGAGTTTAAATTTCTGAGTCATTAATTATAAGCGAAGAAAAAGAGGGATGTAGTTCAACCCTGAAAGGCTTCTAATTGCTAATCTGATGATGATAACTGGTTTAATTTTCCTAGCAAAGCAGTGTAATCTGACTAAACTTCCAGCTGAATATGTAACGAGGTCGATTCTGTCTTCTTTTCTTCTCTCTGAAAAAGATACACTTGAAGTGACAGCAAATAAGACTAACGGATCAATATTTTCTTTTTATAGCACATTCTTTCTGCAAATTCTACTGAAAGATAAGAAGAACTAGATTGTCCCTCTATGTTTTCCTTGTCTTCTTTCCCATTAATAGGTAATAAAACATAGGACTTTACGATCCCTAGCTTTACATGTGTTTCCATATATGGTGTACATATATAGCTAGCTTAATAATAGCCTCTTGTCACTTGTACTCTGTCTAAAGACCTAGCGTGTTCCACAAACACCATGGTCGCCGCTCTTCAAATCCACAGTACAGGAAAGAAAAACATGAAAAGGAAAGGAAAAAAGGGGAATAACGCAGACAGAGCATGGAGAATAAAATTTAGATACCTTCAAACAGTTGAAGTGAGATTCAATCAAAAGGCCATAAAGAGGATGACTGGAAATCATCTTTTTCAGAACCTCATGATCATCGCTTAGTTTCTCTCCGTCATTTTCTCTCCCACTTTCATATCCACCAATCCTACCACCCTCCATATCCATCTCTCTTACGCAAACACACAACACACAGCAAGGCTCTAATCCTACACACAAAAACACACATATATATACAGTAGCGGTGATGTAGAAATTGAATTATGACAAAATTACAAATAATACATCTCAGATAAAAGAGGTCACTATTATGGTTCTTGGTGCAAGTGAAGTGTAGCAGTAGCTATCAACATGTACGTACGTTCCTTTTTTTTGTCGCTGTTGTTAATGTAGTTACTTACTTATGGTGAAAATATCAGTATGAATCTGAGTGCATACATATATAGATATATAAGGATGAAGATGTGCATGGAAACACGATAAAAGGTGAAAGCAATGTACTATGCAGACCTGTGCATACATGGACTTTTTCGCGACGAAAGGAACTTGTCAAGGCTTAGTGTTACGATTAAAGTAGCTTTCAAAGTACTTGCGACCTGCAACTCTTTTTGGCTTTTTCTGCATTCCCTTCCCTTCTTACATATTCCCCTTTTTGACTACTTCTCTTTCCTTGTTATTTATTATTCTTGTTTATTCTTTTTTTTTTTAAAAAAAAAACATCATTTCCCCGACCAGAAAGGAATTGAAACGCTAGCTAGCTTCCTATAGTAATTCCCATTTCTTCTCAAGCAAACTTGATCCAATCTCCAAGGTTTTCAGTGGAAGCAGTATTTTATTGGTTCGATTGTGGTCGAACTAGTCATAATTGAATGCGTTGGATTCAATTTGAAGGGATACATTTTGAATTCAAAGTGAAAAATAGTTTTAAATTCAAACAATAACTATTTTGGATAATTATTCACATATATAATCTTATCTTTTATAGATAACCACTAGTTTAATTTAGTTTCATATGCATGGAGAAAAATTCTACCAATACCAACAGAAATTGTATCTAGTGAAAGAAACTAATCTTTCACAACATAGCAAAATAAAGTTTGCATTTTTATTAGAAAAAGTGTTTGTATTTAGGGTTTAATTGTGCCTAAAATAAAATTGCTTTTAATAAGAAGCCTAATGCATATACACAATAAAAATAATTTACAAAAAAACTAATGTATGAAATAAATTAAAAAAAATATTTTAACGTAATATTGATTGTTATAGGGCTGAAGTGGCAGACAGAAAGTGTCACAGGAGGAATTAGACGTAGGTGCTGATGATTATATACGTAGGGCTGCTCAAGAACATGTGGCATGGCAAGTCTCCGAAGCAGCTTCTCATTGAAATCACTTATAACCAACCATTTCTCGGAATTCATGCATTCACGTCTCCAACAAACTGAATCATTTAAGTAATTTAATTCACTGCGGGCGCGCAGTGTATGCTATTGGGTGAGGAGCCTCACTTAGAAAAGTGTTCTTAAATACAATCAAGGCTTGAGTCTAGTAAAATAGATTAATTCTTTATATATAACGAATTAATGTTTAAATTTGTGTTGAAATAAGCATTTATATTTAGTGTCGGATCTTGTTTCCAACATGATTGTTTCTTATGGGAAAACACATGTAAACAGTAAAAAATATTAAAGAAAAGTGTTCTCAAGTGTTACTCATTGTTCTTAATACATACACTCCATTTAGTTCTAATTATATGGTAAAGTTAATCAAGTTCACGGTTTTTCAAGGAATGGTAATTAATACCTCAAACTTGTAAACGAGTGTCTGTCATGTATTTAGGACTAATTATTAGACTTCTAAAATTTTACCTTATAATTAAGATTAACAGGCACACTTTTTTGTTTTTTATTGTTAGAAAACCTATCATTTCTTACTTTTTTTTATTACAAGCAGGATCACCTATTTTATTAAGTATTTATTATATATTTTTTAAAGCACCTTTTATAATTTATATTAACAAAAAATAATTAATGCATACTTATATTGAGTAATATAAGGCATTTTAGTCTACTTTTATTTATTTTTAGATATAATTATTATGATTAATTAACTTTCTTAAATTGTGTGATATGATTTTTTTTTCATATATAAAAATAGAGAGAGTATAGTACCTAATTTTTTTAATTTTAAAAAGAAAAACTAATCTGCAGGTCCTTATTCTTAAGTTAAGACTTATGGGTATAATTAAATCACTCAAATTGAGGTGGGAAGTTAAAATTTAGTTAACAACCTTAATTTTTTGAAAAAAATTCTTATCGTTCTAGGCTCGATCATTTGATGAGTTAGTTTGTATTTTTTTTTAGTTTAAAAATTTAACAATCAACAAATGCGTTAAAAAAATAAGAATTTAATATTTATATAGATAAAATTAAAGGTAGCTAGTGGGGAAAAATACTGACGAATCAACTCTGATATATATATATATATATATAGAGAGAGAGAGAGAGAGAGAGAGAGAGATGATCTTTTATCAAATTAAGATTTAAACATTGTCGGTGCGGGTGATGATAAGAATGTTTAATGATGAAGATTATTCAAATATATATGATTTTATGATCCATTTATTTGTATGTCATTGTGTTGTAATTTGATTTGATATCTTAATTAACGTTCATGCTGTAGTTTCATACACTTTTTTTTTGGGGGGGGGGGTATATAGTTTTATAGAAAAACAATAACAACCTATAATTACGGGTCAGCCAATAAATCCTTATCTTATGGGCCAAACCTCTGAAATTCAGAAATTGAAGTCTATTCAATTACAAAATGAGGTGATTCAAACTTTTATAATAAAACTTGTGATAATTCAAGTCTATTTAATATACTGAACTAATATTTAAATTTTTATTAAAAATAATGTTCACATTTAATATCAAATCATATCTTCAGCACAGTTATTTTCAATAAAAGAACACCGATATCTACAAAAGAAAATGTTAATTTTGTGAGACCAACCTATTCCCCAGTTCTACCTATTAATCATATTATTTTATTTCGTGAAAAAAAAAAATGCTTGGTTCACACAATGCACATGCACGAGTTTTTGTGCAAATGACCCATATGTTAAATGTAATAACTAATATGCGTATATACTTATAAAAGAGAAAAGAAAGCAATTGCCGGGCCCTTGATTCAACTAGCAAAAGAGTTATATCAATTTAATTAGAATTTTTAAGTTTAAGTTTTGAGAATATAACAACATTAATGATAGCTTTTACATGAAAAGATTCAAGTCGCGATCCCTAATCCAAATTAGTCACGTCCATGTTAAAATTCCTTCAACTTGACGTGAGTCAGGTTACAGAATACTGGGTATTCTATTTAAAAAGAAAAAAGAAAAAGATGAGGGAATGGTCCATAGGGTATGAGCAAGTGAGGGGAGAAACAATCCCGTGGGGCTCTGCCTGGACTTACTATTGATGACGCCAACATTGGCAGATTGAATAAGCAACACTTCCAGTTCAGTCCTCAGTCGGACGCCATATGGACAAAACTTTGCTATTTGCATCACTCCTTCATATCATATGTGATGCTGCCAACATTAATTATTCACGCCTGATTTTGAGTTTAGAGAGTTATTTAATTTATTTACAATTTAATTGTAAATTGAGATGGAAAAAAAATTTCTTATGAGGGTTATTCTCAATTAATTTTAACAATTAATGCTTGACATATATATATATATATATATAATGTTTTAGCAGTGGAATGATGATGAATTAATTGATAGTAATAAATTATGTGAACAAATTTAAAAAGTTACTATTACTATATATATAATGTGAACACCTCAAAATTCACGAAATTTTTCACCATTTATCCTCAAGCAAGTTAGACAAGACTTGCCCAATCCATAAGTGCTTTTGTTTATCTATTTTTATTATTTTCTGGATGAACTTTACCTTTTGTGTACCATTTGCTTGACTGACATGTATGGAAAAAGTGCTTACAATTTCATTTGACATGTTACTGTTTAGTTTTGGACTTTTGGTCCCTTGTGTTCCAAACTCTCATTTCACACTATTTCATGTGTCTCTCTCTCTCTCTCTCTCTCTCTCTCTCTCTCTCTCACACACACACACACACACACATCACGAGTATGGTTTGCTGATAATAGAAATTATACAAAGAATATAAATTCGTTTAAATTACATTTACATGAGGATTAGAAATCAAATATTCAACTTCTTAATTATGTAACAAAAGCTATTGTTAAGATCATAGGGCATAATTTAAATGAGAGTTAATCACATAGTATGTCACTGTGGATAACACGTGTTTGTTTGTGTATTCTGTGTGTGTGTGTGTGTGTGTGGAGTGTGGTAGTGAGTTGAGTGGCTTCAACTTGAAGGACAGGAATTTATAGACCCGGGGCTTCAGCAGTTGCAGAGCATAGCTAAATTATTTGACAAAGGGCCTAAAGGGTTGTGACTTGTCAGAAACAGAATTTATAATTAAACATTTCAATTTTTGTCCAACATATTTCTGTTTTATTTCCAAAAATTAGAAAAATATATACACCAATATAATATGTAGATATTTTTTTTAAAAATATAAATATATTCCTTCAAAATAAAATTATTATCACATTTTGTAAGATTAAATTGTCATTTTTTTATTTTGGAGGGAATTATTTGTCATTCTCCCTAATTTTTTCTTTCATTTCTTAATTATCAATGTGACAATTGCATTTCAATTTTTCAAGATTGCCCCCCCTAAAAATAGACATGCGTGTAACCAAAGTACTATCATATTAGAATAATGTCATATTTAGTTTGGGATAACTCCTAATAAATTTTTTCCACGTATGAGTTTCAATCCCTTAAACATATTTTTACAAAAGTTAAGTATTTTTCACTCAATTTAAATACGATTGGTGTGTTAAGCTCCGTTTTATTTAATACAAAAGTACAAAGAATATCATCAATTTTAGGCCACATTACGAACACCAACCAATATTAATATATTTATAAAAAGTATACTTTTTTGTATTTTCATAAGATACTACTAAAAATATGGCTTATCATGGAGGAAAAAAAAACACGGGAACTGGTTGTGGTTTTTAACAAATTATATTGTTTAATTAACACCGAGAAGCAAAGTAACTAATGATTTATATACAAGGCAATGGCCTAATCCCTCGCACAAAGCGCCTCTCCTAAAAAGAGGTTGCAAGTTGAACCATACTTATACATTACAAAAATATAAGATATTTTTTAAAATGTTATGTGTTAAAATGTAAGGGATTTTTTGTATTTCATGGTCTAATTATTACTTTTTTTTGTTCAAAAAGTGCTTCTTATGAATAAATCAATTTATATTTATTTAAATTGAAATATTTTATTAAATAGGAATAAAGATAAAAAATAATATTAGTTTAAAGATAAATAAATATTTTATTAAGATGAGAATTGATTAAAAATGTTTTATATTTTTTAATGAAGGGAGTGTAGTATAGGCATGTGGTATGTGTGAATTTTCTTTTGTTTTAGGGGAGCGTTGTAAATATGTGTGAGTGGATTTTGTGAAGCTTCCTTTAAAAAAATTGACTTTGTATAAAAAGCTCACCTAGTTTACTTGTATCTTCTCAACTAATTTTAAATAAAATAAAATCTATTTTGTTAAAGACAGAACTATAAACAAATCTCGAATAATAAAATTAATTATTCCCCAATCCCATTCACAGGTCAATTTTTTACATTTATATGTTAAACTTCTATATTTAGAAGTAGTTAGGAACTAACATGTGTTGGTGTTGGTAGAAAGGATCTCTATAATTGCTTAATAATAGTTCTCAAATTTGAATGTGTGTGAAGGCTGTAAAAGGCATTTGGAGAGCTATTGTCAATTAAGTCCAACAATATTTGAGTCAGACTCAATTAGATAACCGTCCCAAAAAATAAGTCATTAGAATTTATAATAATTAATGTTCCTTTTTAAGACTTATAAGTAGCTTTTTCATTATTTAAGTTAGAAGTATTATTACCACTTGCTTAAACTAATTCAAATACTCACTCTATGGGATTGGTATTATGAAAGACAGTCTCATGAATACCTCTAGGGTATCTTTGATATAATTATTTAACATGATTTTATATTTCAAAACTTGCATGAGATCTTAAGATAAGTTGATTTAATTTTCTTAACTAGTTAAACAAAAGACATTCAATTGGCGGTTTGAATATAAAGGTAATATTTATTATTCCTATAAATATAAAAAATATTTTTAACTCATAAAATTATTTGTTATCATACTCTTCTTCACACAACGAAATTTACTTTAGAATAAATCTCTCATCATTTCCTCAAGACCACGAGATTCTATATCTCTAAATCCTTAAAGCAAAAATGTTTAGGCTATTTATTTATTTCTCATATTTTTGGTTCGATAACCACTAAGGCTGTTCACATTGCTCGAGAGTGTAGTTAACCTGCCTTACTTGAGTTATTCAGGCATTGAGGCAGGGGTCAACCTTGCCCGGCTCTAACAGATGTCATTTTTCTAATATTATTTTGTCTACAACATTTATTTATTATTATTATTATTTTTGGCTGATAGTTATCATGAAATATACTTGTTTTTATGATTTTTTTAGACATTTCTTATCATTAAAGTTTTTTAATCTCTTTCAAAATTTGAAATTTATTTTGAACTTAATATTTTGTAAAAATAACTGACAGTTGTTGATCATATATAATTTTAAAAATTACTTTTGATTCTAATATTAATTTTATAAAGAATATATTTTAAATGATAATAATTATATATTAATAGAGAAAAATTTTATCTATTTTTTTTAAAAATATTTTTGAATCAATCTAGTCAAAATTGGCATAAACGGTTGGCATCAGGTTGGGCCGAATTGCATATGTCTAGCTGGGGCGATGCCTGCCTTGATCCTACCCATGTGCGGTCCTAAATAACCATAGAGGGAATTATGAAAAAGAAAAAAACAGAAGGAATTAGATGTGTTTGTTGTACGGTTATTGGGCCTAATAAAACCCGACCCATTCACTTCAAGATGCGCTTCGGCTTTCGGAATATGGCTCAATTGGTTTGGACCACTATACAGGGCTGAGAAAATCCCTGGGCAGATTGTCCAACAACGTTGACATTGCCTGGCCCAGGATTTTTTTTTACAAAAAATGAAATGTTTAAAGCTTAAAAATTACTATTTATTGTTTTATTTATTAATATTTTAAGTTTAAATAATTATCATAATTCAACTAAAAATAAATAATAGCATGGTTGCTAATTCAGATTACAAATAGTTTTAAATTCTTAATACCTGAGCTTGGCAATTTGGGAGACAACACAAGTGGAAATGGCTCTAAATATCTTGTAGTGGACGTAGGTAAAAGATTAATCTGGAACTAGTTACGTAAATAAGGCACACACGGACCACACGTATGAAGCTTCTCCAGCTCTTGACTGTAGCTCCGGTGACATGATGTCAACAATGCGGTGGTTCTCGTGGGATCATTTTCTTGACTTCAATGACAGAGGTTTGCCTTTTGATGCAGAGGAAGTGGAGCCCTTGGTTGTCCACCAGCTCTTAGTGATTTAAGGAAGCAAAGGAAGTTGTTGAATTTACTATAAGAACTTGATTTTGATACCACTTGATACAAGAACAATAGTGAATACATGCAAAAGAGTTGAAGAAGATGCTGAGAAGAAGGACGGAGAAAAAGAGAAGCAAATACAGGGAGTAAAAGGAACAATAGTTCATTATAACCATTGACGTAGCTTTCTACATAGAGTACGAGAGAAGAAAAATAAACTGTGGGTACATAGTAAACAATACAATTAAAGCATTAATAATTCCCAACATTCCTTAAGCTTTTATTCATTAGATTTTTTCCCCCCATCATTATCTCCAATTTCCCACCAGTACGTTATTGAAGACTTGTTAATGTAATCGGCATAACAATCACTTTCTTCCATTCTGCAATGGCGGCAATACAGCATCTTGGACAGCAATGAACCTTGCCCGTCCACCATACTCTTCTGGTAGAACCTCTTCTCCAACATCTTTTATAAACTGTCTTCTCTCCTCCTCATTGCCTACAATTACTATCTGCAAACAACCCAACAAATTTTTCCATCAATCTTTGATGTCTGTGAAGAGTTACACTTCCAAATTCGTTTTACAATGTTTCTATTGATCTGTAAAATAGATAGCTAATAACTTCAAAGTCATACTCAAATGGGCCTACCAAAATTTAAGGGAAAAACTACATTTCACCTCCTATTTTGAGGTCTAATCGCACATTTGGTAAATAAAATATATAATGTAATTAAGCACTTCTTTGAACTTTTGAGAAAAACAAAAACATCGATTTCTACTTTGTATATGTGTGTGTGTATGAACTTTCTTGAACTCTTCAGCGCCAGCATTGGACTTCCAATCTTGTAGAGCTGTCCCATTCAAATCCTTATTTGCTCTGAAGTTGGACTATGCTTTAGCTTAATTCATCCTCATCCAAAGTGATAGCATTATTACTTACAAGGGGAAACTACATTTTACCTCTTAAATTAAGACAGCAGTATGAAAACATTTCCATCAACTTTGGACTTAAATGAAAATGTTAAATTCTCATCAGAATTAACTGCAATGTGCTAAGTGATCCCCTCATGACATCATATATTTGTATTATCACGCCAATTCAATGCCATGAACATTGTTGAAGGCAAGCAAGCATATAATTACCAACTTTTAATTACACCTTAGTTAAGGGGTTAATTGTAGCTTTTCCATTTAAATATGGTTCTTAGACAAGCATGAATAATTTCATTCCACATACTTCAGCATCCAATCAATTATAAACATTGGACAGTTGATATTACCTTTTCTAGTGTTGCCTTCTCAAGGAAACGACAAATTAGTTTCCAAACACTCACAAAAAACTGAGGCATATGTATAACATAGAGCTTTGCTAGACGTTCAGGGTAGTAAGCCTGCAATTCAATTAAAAGAACACAATAAATGAGATTCGGTTTGGTGCATTTACTGGTGCAAACCTTTGGGTAAGTTAGATGGGTTTCACAGTCCTGAAAAATTTTCATCCAAATATTCAAAGAATGAAATCATGGACACATTTTAACTACAACTACGTTGTATAATCAAGCAAACAAGCACAGGGTTTTCTGTATTTGCCGGGTTTACACAAAGTTCTACACTGAAGGAAAGAAGTAAGGAAAATCTAAAATCAGAAACATGAAAAAGTAGAAAAGAAAGAATGAAGCTGTTAATGATTATAGGTCAAGAGAGGCCTATCAAGTTTGGAAGCCAGGAAAACGAAGAAAGTTACCTGTAAAAATTGAAAACCTGTGATGAACCCCCGCGCATCAATGTTTTTATATGCGAGATGCTTCAAATCAACAACCGCAATTAACTTTTCATTTCCTATCTCCCTTCCTTTCACAGCACTGAAAGCCAATGAAATGATAAGTTTCTCAATCATCAATGGCAGTTAGCACAATTCAGTAATCCTAATTAAAAAAAAAAAAAACCCTATTTGTAATTCTCTAGTGAAAATCAGAGTTCTGTCCTGAAAACATTTTGTCACAATGATTTGGGAACCTTTAAGACTGGACTTGACTGGATAAATGGACGCTGCAATTTCATTAGTGCTCTCTCTTCACCTTAGTATTTCTCCTACCTCCCTTTCTCAGATCTCTAATCACATAAGTGAATTGGCCTTTTAATCTCCTTGAGATTAGGCTTACATCAATGTCATCCTTCACAAAGTTGTCTTTCCATCAAATTAGTGCATAGAGAGGCTTGATCAATTCTTCAAGATTGATGTAGTCAACTGATATAAATCGCCTTTAAATTCTAAATTTAAGCTACTCAAATTTTTCAAGGACCAAAACTTTAATGTGTGCATAATGTTCAAGGACAATTAATGTTGCGTTCTGTCAAAGGACTATATCATGTATCAAGCCAGGCACAATTCTGTAAATCATTCTACTACTAAACCTGTTTATGCACATTCTACATGCACCAGGAGAATCCATAAGTCCCTTCTCCCTTGTTTCTTTTTGGTACGACAATAATTCATTACTGATCATTATTATTTTTTTAAAAGGCTCCTATCCTGCAAAATCATTATTTTTTTATACTTAGTGCCTAAGCTTTTATTTTTCTAGCCTCTTCTTCCCAAGAAGCTAAGGAGTTTTCCCATGACTTTCACAGCATAGTTTTGGAGCGTATTGTCACAGAGCTCTGTCTTCCTTATCTCAGGCACGCCTGCCTTTCTGCCGAAAAAGAAAACTGCATATTGCATAGGTTGACTTGTATCATAGACCATTTAGAGCCACAGATGAATCTGGCATAGTCATGGCCAGTGATCCTTGTGTTCCCCCCCTTTTTTTGGGAAGTGATCCATGTGTATTTGAATTTGACTAAAATACAAAACTTATATACCAATCAAAATTAACTGGTAGAGGCCAAATGAACCTCGCCTGTCCCCTTGAGAAAGTAGCCTCTTGCAGTTGATTTATTTGGAAGTTTTTCTCGTTCTTCTTCACATATAGATGATTCTTAATATTTTTATTTTAGTCTAAAGTTCAAAGAGGTCTTATACTAGATTTTAAAAAGTATTGTTGTTTCCTTTAATGGTTACTAAGACTTTGAGATCTGAATGTGATATGTGAAAAATGCTACTGTAGTAGTGGTCAACAGGTAAATCAATGTACCATAGGTACAGTTATGACATACCTTGCGATTGTCTTGTCAAGCAAATGAACAACATATTCTGCACCAACAGACAAACCAAAGCATTTAGCTAAGTAGTTGAATTCCCATAGAAATTACAGCAGAAAATTTCAGTCATTTGCAATAACCTTAGTTCGGTTCATACGATTAAGAAAAGGAGACGGGGATGGAAACTGGAAAGGCATAAATAAAACTGTAAAAGACAATTTATCAAGAAATGCAACATATAGTATGTCCAATAGCCAAATTACTTGATTGTGTTTAAGGAATCAAATCATCAACTACTAATTATTGGAGGGGGAAGATTGAAAATGCAGCGCCATAAAAACATTATGAAATTGGGGTAGGTGCATCTAGATGACTCTTTTCATAATGAAATACCAAGGCAGTGGGAGAACCAGTAAAACAGAGAAAATCAAGAAAAGAGATCCAAGTGCATCCAATTGACCATTGACTTTAAATTTGAAAGATTTCTCTCTTGCATATTTGTCCGGTCTGGTGGCTTACCATGAGGACAAAACAATAAAAGAGGCATCTTTGAACTGACGACTTTAGAATCATACTTCTCAAAACAGACAATAGCCTTTTTAATAGCTAAAACATTTTGTTGGAACTCAATTTTCAATTTAGTCCCTGCAGGTTAAAATTTTGTAATTGGGTCTGTAGTTTTAATATATTTCAAGTTAGTCCCTGTTTTAAATCTCTATCAATTTGATTGGTAAATTTTTTTTTTTTTTAATGTGATCCCCATGCATGATATGCAATATTAGTACTCTAAATATACTCAATGCATGCATTGAGAAGGGATCATAAAAGAGAGTGAAATCCACTCATGATGTGGCATGTGATGCCACCTAGCTAGAGGGACAGAAAAGAGTTGGCATGAGTTATGCATATCTGAAGTATCAAGATTGCAGATGATTAGAACGTTATTTTAATGCCCAAAAACACATGAAAAATTTTATACTCCATGAGGATCAAATTGTAACTTTGAGTAAAATTAAGTAACTTAACCCTTTTTCTGTTTTATTTGAGAGAAGAGAGAATTACTCTTAAATTGAAGCTGATCCTTGGAAGGAAAATGCTTGCAGGCTTGAACAATCAACAAAGGGTATTTATCCTGAGACAAACCCTGCAAAAGGACCTTTCTTGCAGCTAATTCAACTGTTATTTCAGATTCTGAGATGAAACCATTAGGCACCATTGAAGCCCTCCACTTCTGCCACTGAACAAACATCTTGGCTGCTTTATTTGGGTCCATTGATCTTGCAATCAAGAACCTCATCAGCGTTGGTCCTTCATACATCTGCAAAATCAAAACTCATGAACCCTAAAGGAAAAACAACGATCTCCGGAAATTCAACACTCGTATAAGTAATGCATCATGTGAGCAATAAGGTATAGACTGATCAGTGATCACCTCAGCAGAAGAACCGAGCTTCTCCACTGCTTTCCTCATCTGGGTGAGTGCAAAATCTTGAACTCCCCCCATTAATTTGAAGCTCTACGAAAGATGAGTAGTTGAATCAGAAGAGAGGAATGATGAGAGAAGAAGATGACGAAAGACCGGGTTTCAAGAGAGGAGGTTCATGCGTTTAAATTCCTTATTTTCTTTGAATGTGGTTTCGGTCAGATTCCAGCTTAACTAAAGACAGATAAGGAAGATTGGCGGGTGATATAAACTGTCAAAGTAATACATGAACATGATGCATGATGTTGGTTATATTACTATTTATTTATTTTTTTAAATTATTCTGGTAACAATTCTCAATAAAAACCTTGAAAGTCAAATAAATGGCAGATTTAAACATTAAAAAATGGGTGAGGATGTTTTTTTAATTATGAATGAAGTTTTCGGCTGTCGACGTGCTACGCTGTGGCAGAATAGTGTAATATGCACATATAACAGATGCAAAATCAAGTTTCAGATTTTCAATTGCATGTTCAGGGTTGACGCAGGAAATAAGATTGAAGTAAAATATTATGTGGAAGTACCCACAAGTAACTCAACTAGTGAAAGATTGTGCTCGCTTGACTTGTAATTTTGAGTTTGAATTCTGAATATATAATTATATTAAATATTTATTGGAAAAGCTTTATCATTAATATAATCCTTGACTTATGAATAATAGATAATTGTGTAAAAAAATTCATGAAAATTTAATAATATAATAATTTGTGCCCTATATATAAATTCAAAAAATGAAAGGTATTTTGATATTTTTTGAAAAAAATTGTTCTTCAAGGACTATGATATTAGGCACTTATACTTAAATATTTGGGTCTTTTAGTACAGCAATTTTCCAACTAATGTTTTGTTGTTTACCATGATCAGAATGATAAAAATATTTGAAAAAATATATATTTTTTTATTCTTATATTTATTCGTATTTTGCAATAGATTCTTGCGCTTTTTTTTTTATATTTTAGATCTTCACATTTTTATTTTTTTATATTTTATATTTATTCAAGATCCCTACACTTTATTTATTTTATTCATTTAGGGACTTAAAATATGAAAAAATAAAAATATAGAAACTTAAAATATTAAAAAAATGTAAGAATTTATAATAAAATATGAATAAAATGTAAGGATAAATAAATATATTTTTTTAAAATATTTTTTATTAAAAGCAGTATGGCCCTCATGCCCCAAGAAAATGTATGGCCCACGAGGATGAGGATGGAACATGGAGATGGAGGCAAGAATCTTTATTCACCTTTAAACTTACCTTACCTTGACAATATTCAAATTTTATAATATAATGAATTAAAATTTTAATAATATTTTAAATATGATTATTTTTAATAAGAAAACATTTATGTATGATAAGCTTTTTTATTTGTAAATTAACGGAAAAATGAAACCAAACTAAAAAAATTTAGAAAACTCCATAGACTTTGCAAGTGCGTAAACGATACACACATATTTTACAAGAGTTTGAGTTAAAATTGTATTCTCAGGTATAAGGATTTTATTGTTAGATAATGGAACAATTATTTTTATAAATTATTTTTGAGCCACGAGATGTAACTAATTTCTTATGAAATTTTAAGTTCCAAGTCATCTTTTATATTAATAATAAAATAAAAATTTGCAATGTCTGAGAAAAAATAGAAGTACTAAGAGAAGAAAAGTTAGCAGAAAAAGACAAGCCATGTAAATCACATTTATGAACAGTAAAGTTGTTAAAATTGCCCAAAAGCTTTTAATATCGTGATTCACAGGCTGTTGTTGATTTGCACTTGGCATGAAAACAATCATCACTGTTATGTGTAATTCTCAAATTCCCAAAGCTTGCAACTCTTCCAAAATGATTCCAAGAGAAATTATTGATTCAGAGCAGGATACTTCGAACACGGAAGGCCAAAAAAAATTATTTAAATGAAGATAAAATTTATTGAAATCTTTAATTTTATGAAATAAAAAAATTTAAGTATATTTATGAATAAGGATCATGAAGTTTATACATGTTTTTTCTCATATAATTAGTAAATTTAAAGTCAATTTTGTGGAAAATTAACATTTTTTATCGTTATAATTAAGAAAGTGGAGCCATAAAATGGCCTACTTTAATTTCAAGGCGTGTAAACTTGAATTTTTAAAGCTTTAGTCAAATACAGACTGGCACGATTCTCAATTATTATTAAATAATATCAAGTATTTGATTTTAAAAAGCAAGTAAGATAGTATACACTCTACACTGCAAACACAAACTCGTCAATACTAATGTTTAACGAAACAACCATTGAATATTAGTTTTGTCAAACGACTTTTAAAGTTTAGAAATAAAATATAAGCACTCGTTGCCACGTGTTTGAACTTTGAAGTAACGAAATCAACAATACCTTTTCCTTCAATTTGTTCCAAAAAATAACTATATATATACAAACTATTCTTAAAAAAAGAAAACTCTTTGCTGTTGTGAGATAATAAAATTATTTTTAATAAACAATACTTTATCAATAATTGAACTTTCTATAATATCATAACTCACATGTGAGGGACATTTTTGGAGACAATACATTGGATTTGCTGTCACTTTAATCTTATCAAACAAGTTTAAGTAACTTTTCTTGGTTTTAACAAGTTCATATGTTGTGTAATTGTGTTGGTTAAAAAAAAAAAGTTCATATGTAATACATATGTTAAAAAAAAAATTTACCTTTCTAACTTTGTTTGAGTTTTTTCTTATTTTCCCATAAGGCAAGAACTAAATGATACTCCCTCCGTTAAAAAATATAAAGTATTTTTAATTGAATTTCATCTTTCAATAAAGTAGTTATCTATTTTTCAATTAACCCTATTTTTTTATATTTATTTCTATTAAATATCCTACAATAAATATAAAGTCATTATTAATAGGGGTACTTTTGAAAAAAAGACAATGATTACATCTTAAAAGATTAAAAATACCTTATATTTTTTAACATTAAACTCCTCAAAAATTATTTTACATTTTTAAATGGAAGGAATATTTGTTACTTCCCACAAATTCAAATAGGAGTTTTGTCGAGTTTTAGATTAAATTCTTTATGACCTAAATTTAAATTCTTTCAATAAATATTTTAAATTAAATCCCTTAATTGATTTTGATTTAATCAGGTCTTTATGGTTTGATCCCTTAAATTTATTAATGTCTAAAAATTAAAATTCTTGAATTTTTTCAATAAAAATGAAATTCAGAATTTTTATATTTTTTTGATAAGCATAAAAAGTAGGTTCCATTGATAGAAAAAAGCTATTTTACTCAAAATACTGAAGGCAAATAATAGACCTCTTGGCTAAGTTGATGCATTGATTTCAGAACTAATTATAGAATTTTTATAACTCAATTTATATAATTTGGTTATGACTTCTAAATAATTTTATACATATAATATTTTTATAAAAATTAATAAAAATGTAAACATTGTATTGAATCATTTTTTAGAAAAAATATTGAATCAAATTTTATATAAACTTTACAAGTGCTTTTGTTGCGAAAAAAATTAATCATTCATTAATAATTTTACTTTCAAGGATTAACATATTTAATAGATTAAATTATAAGAAGTTGATTAAAATAACATAAATTATAGGAACCTATTTAAAATTGGGAAAAACTATAAGAACTACAAATTGATTTCTTCACTTAAAATTTCCATTAAAAATTTGTCCATTTAATTAATAAAGCCTTTTTACTAGCTGTGTCGGCAATGGTAGACGCAGGTATAAATGAGGGTGGGCAAGTGCCCCCACTCAACTTAAATTTCTTTGCAAAAAGTAGTTAAAACTTTTAAATTTTTTTCCCATTATTTCAATAATTTTGAACTCACTAAACTAAAAATAAAATATATTTGAGTTCAATAAGAAAATATGGGTCTTTATATTTCACTTAAGTGTAATAAATTTATTCATTATAATTGAATTCAGATTATGTTTATAAAAATATTATTTCAATTTTTATTTTCTAATATTATTTTACAAAACTAAATATTTATTGTATATATTAAATTTTTTTAATTATTTTTATATTTTATATAATTTATGCTCTCATTGACTTAGGGTCCAGTATTTTTCATTTTGTGCTGGTTGATAATTCAAATATGATCTTATTAAAATTTAAAAAATTGCGTGGCTTATAATTGAATACATCACTCTTTTCCAAAGCCCAAAAGTGTCTTAATTTCAGAGTGTTAATAGTCATGGGGAGATAAAGCGAACCTCACTAATTAGGTATATTGGAATGAGTCAAAGTATGAAAATAAAGAGTATTCCAATTTCGTTTTCATTAGTCAAGATTAATTAAAAATCAAGCAGCCAATCAAAAGTTTGTCTAAATACATACTTCATTCAGTTCACAATATAAATAGTTTTTAGAAGAAAAAAAATGCATGCCAATGGCGTTCTCATTTCTTATAAAAATATATATTATTTTTTTCTTACCTCTATCTCTAATTATTAATGCATCTCATAATGAGTAAGCTTTATATTTGCACGAAGAACTAGGTTAATAAATATAAGAAGTAAAATGAATTTTTTTTCTTACATGTACTAGGTTAATTATATTTTAAATCAAGATTAATTAAAAAAATGTTCATATTTTGGATTGGAAGGAGCAAGGTTGATGCTTCCTGTAGCTTTTAATGTGAGATATTATTTTAGCTTGGCACTGACCAATATAAATTTGGGATTTAATTTGAAGTTCTCATTTTCATAGCTTGGACGTTATGTCACCAAAAAACAAAGAAAAAAAAATTGTTCAGTTTTTGTGAATCCGGCTCGGATCAGTCCTTTTCTTTGGTTTCATGGACCCAAGAAAATCCATCACAAAAAAAAAAAAAAAATCAATCAGTCAGTCTCTCAAAAGTCTGTTTAATTTTTGAAAGTAGAGAGAGAATAAATATGATTTCAGTAAAATTCTGAGAATGGTAGGTCAAGAACACAGAGCGAATGAATCATTTCTTAACTCTTCCACTGCAAGATTGTGATGATAAAACTATTTGCCAAAAACGAAGCTAAAACTCATAAAATAACTATACCTGCACCAACATTTTAACAAACTCATCAGGAATCTCACACTATTTATATCACAAAACAATTAACAAACCAATCAACAAAGCAAAATATATATCGTTGTTCTGTATCATAACATATCCTTGTGAAATGGACGAAGAAAAT